CCAAGAACGGCACGCCCACCTCTGCTGCTGCCTGGAGGCTCTTCATGGATTCCTGGGTTCGCTACTTTGGAGCACCTCATTTGCTGGTGACGGACTCAGGCAATGAATTCCGGGGAGCCTTTGAGAGAGGATTGGAGTTCCAAGGCATTCTTCAGCACGCGATTCACCCGGAATGTCCGTGGCAAAACGGCAAGGCAGAGCGCCACGGAGGGTGGCTGAAAGACCGCTTAGACAGTGAACTGCAGTCTGGCCGGTGCGTCTTCACAAACCTCGAAGAGCTCGATGAGTTTATCGCAGCCATCCTGTCCACCAAGAACCGTTGGCTGAACAAGGGAGGTTTTACACCGGCCCAGCTCGTCTTCGGTGAACTGCCGAGGATTCCCGGCGAGCTTCTGGCGGAGGATGAGCTGGGACTACACGGCCTCCATGATGCTCATGAAGATCCTGCCGAAGTTGATGAAGCCGCAGGTGAGTACCGAAGAAGGCATCAGATCCGGGAACGAGCTCGACAGCTGGCGATGACTCAAGCCAGTCGGGAAGCCATTCGCCGTTCTCGGCATGCAGCTCCTCAGCAACAACGCCACTGGGCACCTGGCCAGTGGGTTTATGTCTTCCGCCGAGCCCGAGGCAATCAAGATCTCCATCTTCGTGATCGCTGGGTTGGGCCAGGAGTGGTGGTGGTAGCCAACAACGACACCATCTATGTCGGGATGCGAACCAGGCTGTGGCGTTGCTCACCTGGTCAACTTCGAGCTGCTCTCCCAAGTGAAGTGCTGGGTCGTGAACTGGCCACCAGTCCAGGGTTGAGTGAACTTCTACGGCAAGTAGTTGCGGGCACTCATGCCGGAGCAGTAGATGTGCAGCGTGAGGGACTGCCCGGACCCGAAGATATGTTAGGCCCGGTGCATCGTATCGAGGAGGGAGTTGCCGCCGCGTCAAGTGCTCCTTCGCAACAACCGGCTGTCCTCCCATCACCGCAAGAGCTGATCCCTCCGACAGTTGAAGCTGTCCCTCCTGGACTACTTCCTCTTGGTCATCATCGCGGAGAACGAATGCACAGTATAGCTGAAGAGGAAGAGCGCCCTTCTCACGATCCCACCATGGAAGAGCTACCTCACCTGTCGAGGAGGAGCTCAGTGAATGAACCGGCATCAGAGCCGGGTGAGCAGCCTCAAGCATCTGGACCAGGACCTCCTGCACTACCTGATGATCCCAGCGTTCCTGCAGAACCTCCGCTGAAGATGGTGAGGACGACATCGCCTGAGCACGTCATGGAGAGTGATCCTCCCTCATCCTCACAACCATCTTCTGCCGCAGCTGTCGAACCAGCGCCGCCTGGAACTCGGGCTCCTGGAACGCCCATTGCAGATCTGATGAGGAGAATCCCTCGGGCTGTTTCTCCGCCACCTGGACTAGCCGAACCTCATGAAGGCGCTCACCTCACGCCTGTGGAGGAACTCCCTCAGCAGAATCGAGTTCCCACCCAAGTGGAGGAATTCAATCGGCTTGCCCAGCGCCGAGATCACGATCGTGCAGATGACTCTGGGCTGTGGGGCGAACACTGGTTCCATATCCCTCAAGACGCTTCGGCGCTATGTCTGGAGCTTTCAGGCGAATGGGTGCAGCTGCCGAAGCGAGGTGGAGAGATCTCACTGAAGGAACTGAGCCTACAGGAGAAAGAGCAGTTCGACAAGTCCGATGAACTGGAATGGTCAGCGGTGCTGGGCACTGGAGCAGTGAAGGTGATCGTGGGCAAGGCGGCATCGAAGGCCCGCGAGGACTGGCCAGATCGGATCATCTCCTCACGGATGGTCAGAAGGAAGAAGCCTCAGCCGGAGCTAAACGCTTGGAAGGCCAAGAGCCGGTGGTGCATTCACGGCCATCATGATCCTGACACAGGCACTCTATGCACTTACAGCCCTACTCCATCGACAGAGGGCCTGATGACCTTCCTACAGACTGGTCTCAACTTCGGCATGAAGTTCGCCTTCTCCGATGTCAAGAATGCCTTCTGCCAGAGTGACAAGCTCAACCGACCACGTGGTCCGCTATTTGCTGAACCATGCGAAGGACTCCATCTTCCTGAAGGAGCCCTCATTGAGATCCTGGTTCCCACCTACGGCTTGGATGATGCACCTCGAGAGTGGCGTCTGACTGTGACCCGGTTCCTCGCCTCTCTGTCCTTTGAGAAGAACCTCGTCGAACCCTGCTGGTATACGCTGTTCTCGGACAAGCGGGAGTGCTTGGCGCAGGTGCTGGTGGAGGTGGACGATTTCATCGTATGTGCTGCTCCTGATCACTATGATTGGCTGAAGTCAGAGCTCACCAAACGATTCCACTTCGGGAAATGGGAGGAGGACGAAGCCGAGTATGCGGGTCGCCACATCCGGGTGATGTCAGACAGCATCCACGTGGACCAGAGCAAGTACATCCAAGAGCAGGTGAAGCCAATACCTCTGGCCAAAGGTCGCCGATCCACTCCGGATGACCTCCTCTCCAAGGAAGAGTTCAACCTTCTGCGCTCCCTGGTCTTTAAGATCAATTGGCTGGCTCGCGAAAGTCGCCCTGAAGCCTCAGGTTTAGCATCTCTCATGGCAGGACGACTACCCAATGCTCAAGTCAGTGACGTGCAAGTGGTCAACAAGTATGTCAACTTCCTACGATCCACCCACGACCGGCCTCTAAAGATCTGGCGCTTCCACCCTGAGAATGTGTGCTTCGTGGTGTGCAGCGATGCTGGCGGCATTAACATGAAGGGCGTCGACCAGGTTGATCACGAAGGTCTACCTCTGGATGCGACTCAGGGAGCATGGATGGTGCTAGCTGCTGAACGGCTGCCGGAAGGGAACAGAGCAGTGAGGGCGTCGCCTATCACCTGGCGGTCTTCACGGCTGAAGCGGAAGGTCTTTTCGACCTTTGGAGGAGAGACCCAAGCCATGCTGCAAGGGGTCAATGAGGTCGACTGGCTCCAGGTGATGTACCGCGATGCCACCAAGCATGATGTTTCCTTGAGCTGCTGGCGCAACTCCTTGAGTCCCCACATGTTGATCATGCGCGGCCAGTGCTCCTTGGCAGACCGACAGGGTCAGTGTTCAGTGACGGACGCCAAGTCCCTGTACGACTGTTTGCTCAGGGAGAATCCGAGTGGCAAGCAAGACAGGAAGTCCGCCCTTGAGCTGGCCATCATCCTGAGGGACCTGCAAGACACCAAATCGATGGTGCGCTGGGTACCTCACCAGAAGATGTTGGTTGACTGCATGACCAAGCTGGACCCCAGCCGTGCCAATGATGCCTTGAACCAGTTTGTGAAGTCTGGCTGGCTGAGCTTGGTCGATGTCCCTACGGAGCTGAAGCACCGGCGAGATGATCCTGCCTACAAGAGGCGGAGCCATGCGGCATCATCCAAGCGCCTCGAATATGAGGAACAGCATCGGATTTTGATGTCGTTTTTCCTGAGTGCTCTGGTCAACGGTAGTTGGGGGAACTGTAATGATTCACCAGTGGACACCATGATTCCATGTTGACTCTTGACCAGAGCGCATTCCGCCATCCTGTGATGGCTCAAGATCCAACGCCCGCTGCGCCCCCTAGGAGAAACAGGGCGAGCCGCTGGGTAGGTGGGAAACGTCGTCATCATGGGATTCATACAGTGTCATGTCTGGCTGACTTATCGTGCTTCTACGACACCGTCAACTTGGACCACATCATTGAACCAGCAAGGATCTTGCAATACCCTGTGGTGCACCTCAAGCTGGCTTTGGACCTTTACTCAGGCCCCAGGACGATTCAAGCTGAAGGTATTAGTGGGGAACCAAAGCACTATCAGCGAGGCATCCTGCAGGGCTGTCCTCAGGCCCCAGCCATCTCCAAGCTGATCCTCTACAGGCCACTGAAACAATTGGTTCAACAACACCCTGCAGTAGCCTTGCAGACTTGGGTCGATGATGTGTCCTACGATGTCCAAGGACGAGATCCTGCCTATGTTGCTCAAGAAGCACTCCTGGCCTTCAAGGCGGAGCTGGAAGCTGCAGGACTCGAATTGAACACGGACAAAACGGGCTTCATCACCAGCACAAAATAAGTCAGTAAGGAACTTGCGCAGCTCCTGGGCCCTGAGGATCCAGCACACTATGATGTCCTGCGCGACCTCGGAGTGGATGCAACTGGCAGCCGTAGGAGACGGGTGATGCAGGTCAAGAAGCGCTTCACCAAGGGCAGTGCTCGCACCGGGATTCTACATCGTCTCCGTTTGGCGCCCACCACCAAGTATCGGCTCCACAGAGGGGCCATCCACCCGGTGATGACATGGGGAGCCCAAGCCAATGGATTGCCTCCTCAAAGACGGCAAAAATTGAGGGTTTTTAGCCGCTAAACTCTCCGGCTACAGCGCAGTGGCTCTGTTGATGTGGTGTTCGACATGCACCCCAAGCTCCCGGACCCGGCTGACTCCATCATATGCCAACACCTCCACACCGTGTGGAAGATCTACCATGCTTTTGCAGAGAGTGCGCAACATCTTTTCTGGTCCAGCTGGAACATTGCCCTGGGTGCCCTTCTCAAGGTCCGCTACAGATGGCAGGTCGTCTCTGGCCCACTTCAGGCCCTGCAAGCTTACTTGCTTGACTATGAGTTCGACATCCACGATGGCAAGCAATGGAAGCGCACGGGCTATGGTGGAATACCAGACTGTATCCTCTCCCTCGAGGATTGCTGGCCGGTTCTGCTCCAGAAGCTCACTGAGGAATTCAAGTGGCAGCGTTTGCTCCGTTTGACCAGGTATGCGCGCTGCGGAGCTTGGGCACTGGTGCTGCTGCCGCTGCAGAGCGCTGCTGCTAGATGTCGATCGCCGTGCGCGCTTTGGAGCTTGGTGTTGGTGCCTCTGCAGGGCGCCGCCGCATGTGTATACCCATTTGCGCTTTGGAGCCTGGATGCTGGTGCGGCTGCAGATTGCCGCTGCCAGATGCTTATGGCAGTGCGCGACTTGGAGTGTGGGTGCAGTTGTTATGGTGCCCACAAATATATTTTGCTATCTGGGGTCTATGCTGGCATCTTGCAGACATGATGAATCACAGCGTTTCACGGCTGGGCGCACACTCACACTGTACAGTCACAGGTGTTTCTTCCGCATCTATGTTTGGTTGTTCAGCGTTGTTGCTGGGCTGCTTGTCCGATTGGGTGCCATTGCTCGGATTCCGAACCCTGTGGATCCCTTGGTGGGTGAAGCGCAAGTTGCAACACAAGGGACCTGAAGAGACCGTAAAGGACCTTGAGACTAAAGGACGTTGCAGTTTCAACTCATGCGATATTTGTGGTTCGAGAAATTAACTTCCTCAAAGGGGCATTCTTGAAAAACGCGCTTGCCATGGCAGAAGAATCTGAAAGTTCAAGGGAACGTGCCTTGAGCGCCTTGGCATTCCTACTTCTTGCGTTTGGCCTGGCTGCGCTGCTACAAACATGGGGTTTCCTCCGTGTCACACATGCAACTTCTGCTAGAGTGGTTGCAAGAAGCGAAAACACATTTGGCATACTGCAGCACAGTCATCAAACCCCTCATGGTCCTTTTGCGGTTGACAATCACCAGGGTACAAGTTTGCCCTTAGAAAGACACAGAGAAGTGCCAAGTCCAAGTAGTGATGAGATTGCAAAGATGCTGCAAGAGACCAAAGCAGCAAACAAACAAGTCCAAAGCGGCTATGGATCAATTCTCGAAGCACTTAAAACGCTGCAGCAACAGACCTCTTACGCGAAACCCGAGAAGTGTGACTCTCCGCGGAAGCTAGTCTTGGATAGATGCATTTGCCCGGCAGGGTCGAAGTGGGACGGCAGCACTTGTGCTCAGAGTCTTGATGAAATGTCCTTTTACATGTACAGAGCACAAAATGATCACAATTATGTCATGGGCAATGTCGACATGGCAGACTTGGCTGGTGTCATGTACTACCTACACCACGAAATTGTGAAAATCAATGCGACGCCTGGGGTCAGAATGAACGGAATCACGAGGATTCTTAGATTCTTGGTCACTGTGCGGCCTTCCAACCAGCTTGTCAGGCAAATGAAAGCGTTTATGCCCTTCGTGGCATTTGATCTCGGCAAATGTTCTGTGCCTGGCTGCAACAAACTTTGGGATCACTATGGCTTTGCAGTTGGATGCCAAAAGCAAGGCGCATCTACAGGCTTTGCCTATACGTCTTCAAACGATCCTTCTGGTGCGTGGTTTTCTTTGCCTGCGGCCTGTCCGGCTTTACCGATTGGAAAAAAGGATCGGGGAACAAATTTATTTTGGAGGGTTTTCGTACAAAGACATGTTGTTTTGAATGTTGGAACATATAAGTCTCGCAATTTGAGTTTGATAGAACAAGTCTATATTTTTGGACCCCGTGATAGATTGTTTAGTTATGTGTTATTTGCATTTTGCAAGCGTTGCTGGATCAATGTTTCAACCCACTGAAATTATTCACGTCAAATAATGGGATCCAAAAATAGAATTATTATGTGCAATAATAAAGTTGTTTGCCGCTGCTTTCAGAGCACAAAAGTCTTTTTGGTACCTAATTATGTCCACATGGAGGTATTGTTGAATGGAAGACAGAAAGGAGCGTTCTCAGCGAACGTTTGCGTTCTGTCATGTGGTCATGTGATCTGTGTTTTGTTTCTATCAGTTCATCGCTCTCTTTCTCATTGTTTTCTCTGCACCCTTGCTTTCTGTGCCACTAAAAAGTTTGATGGTTCCAAAAAGATTGTGACAGGACTTTGCCTCAGCCCTTCTTCCTCCCAAGGGGAATCCTAAAAACAATTGTGACCGGACTTTGCCTCACCCCCTCTTCCCCCGCGCATGGCTTGCGCATATTTTTTGGTATTTTCTTGGAAAGTCAACTGTCCCATTTGGCCAGGCTTGCAGGCTACATGGCGACTGTGCTATTCAAAGCCCACTCAAGTCTGACAACCGCGCGGTGCTGGGTATTGGGCGCCGGCGCCGGTGCTACCAGCGCCGGCCGCTCATGCCGGGCACTAGTGCGTTTGGGTGCCGGCGCTGGGTGCTGTGAGCTGGCTGTGCACGTGGTGAGTGGTGGAAACAGGGCGCCGGTGCTGGCGCTGGCTGTTCGCGTGGTGGAGACAGGGTGCTTGGAAAGCTGGCGAACTGGGGCAGTTGACTTTTGGAGCCAACATGGTTCCGCGCTCTCATTCCAAAGCTGTGGGTGTGGTGGATGGAGCTTTGCGTGAACATGATGTTTTTACGATTTAGTTTATGACCTGAAAAGAATACATTTCATAGGTTTATGATTTTTTATGAATTTGAATTCTGTATTTCTAGTGCCCGGAAATGTTCCTGGTTTCAAATCGCATTTGGATGAAGAAATAATCTGCAGTTGTTTCTGCACTGGGGTGTTCTTGGGCGGTAGGACAGTGAGAACGATATAGGTTGACAACGCCACTGGGTGACTCTAGGGCCAGGATTGGAAAACTGCCGTTGGTGCGCAGTGCGCGAGAATGACAGGACTTTTGTGACCAGTCAAGATTGTGAACTTTAGCGGAAGTAGTGGTCGCGTAGGAACGGTAGGACGCTGTAGGCCGATGATGCAGAAGTATCCAAGACAGTTGCTGGTGTTTTTGGTTCTGCGCTGCCGTGACAAGGTTTGCTTTTTGTGCCTTTATTTTCGCGTGGACATTGAGGACGAACTGCTAGCTGTGAACTAGCCAGCAGCTAGCAGCTATAGCTGCTAATTTCACCAGCGCTAAGTTTGCTGCAGCTTGTTCCAAGTAACTTCTTCACCCTCCTACCTTATATATATAATTTAGTTGAAGCGTAGGACCAGAAGACGAAACAATTCGACGCAGACGAAAGTTGTTGGGGGGAGCTACAGCTAGGGCCCAAGAGTGATTCGGCGCTCGAAGGAGTTACTGTTGCTGAAGCTGAACAGTCCAAGCCGACTTCTGCTGGGCGTCGAGTTGAAGCAAAACTGGAACTACTGCTGACCGTGCCGCCTGCGAGGCCAATTAGAGAACCCTAGTGCCGCAGAGCTGCTCGGCGATTCTTGACGACTAAGTTCTTTCTCGCTCAAGATAGCGACTTGCGACCCCAAACAGTTCAAGACCACCAACCCCAAACAGCTCCAGGCCAGCAGCCCCGAAACTTGAACCCTAGTCTCAACGCGTGGGCAACCCCTGTCGAGCGATGACGCGTAGGTAGCCAGGTTTTCGCGCCATAAAATATCATTTAAAAATCATAAGCGACATCGTAAAAAATCACAAGAAGCATTTAAAAATCATAAGAAGTCACACAAAACAAGAAAATTTGTGAAATATATGATTTGTTTAAGATAATATATGATTTTTTCGATTTTGTTCATGATTTGGTGGTTCTTTTGATGTTTTTATGTTTATTATGGTTGAATTTAATGTTTTTTATGGCCTCCACACGAGGCGGCGAAGCTAACACACCTCCAGCAGTGGGCCTCCAGTATGTTTCTAACCCTACAGGTTGGCGTTTCCCCGCTATTTCTCCAGGCTGAGACGCAAAGCCTCCGGACTCTGGGCTTCGGTCAACTAGCGAGACTAGCGGCAGGACGGCCTGTAAGCCGCTAAAGACAATAGTCAAGTCTGCGAACACGGCAGATTATGCTTTCAAGTGCAAGTACCTTGCACACCTCTGCTCGTACTTTCGCTCCTAATTACACAGGGCCAACAGCTTGCCGCCCAGTCCAAACCCTTGCCCCACAAACCCAGATGTCATAGTGGCAAGTAGGGGCCCTTTCCGCGCGCCAGACCTTTCAACGTTGCGCAATGTATTTTATTGGGCTGTGCGCTGGGCGCTGCGTCGCCAAAATGTTCGACGGTTCGACGCCCCACAAACGCCCCGCAAAGCGGCGACGACGTAAACGACCTCTGAAGGCAGTCTTTGGGCAGTCTTGGCTTGAGGCGGGCTGATTTACTGTGGATACGGTCAGCCAAAATAGAGACGGTTAAGTAATAGGTTAAGAGGTGAAAGTGATTAGGTCTTTTGTAGCGAGAACACCTGTGCGTCAACTGTTCTGCTTTCTTCTGGCAGTGCAGTGCGTGGGGGCTTGAGGAATGATTTGGCATGTAGAACCTTTATTCGCGCGTTTCAAAACTACTTGTGGCTGTGGAATTTCAAGCCTTTAAGGATTGATCCGGAGTGTTTCGGAATGCGAGTGTGTGTGTGTGTCCCACCCTGGACAAAGGGTTTTTCCACCACCTTCACTC